CTAAAATTCAGTAATTGATATTAAAGTTAATGTAAAAGCCACTTTCCCCGACATTATTAGGTTGGGTCTATCCCACGAGGAAAATAATTTAGACTTAACTTTAATGTACGATTACCTCTATTGAGTCAAGTCCTTTATGAAAACTAGTAATAAAATGGGGGGTTTTAGTGAAACAAAATTGTTGTAATGTTGTGAAATCTAACATGTGGCAAGAGTAAATTGTTGGTGTTTATCAAGTTATGAGATAAACTAGGGTGTAAGTGTTCCCCATAGGTTCATAACACCATAATCCTAGCTGATAACATTTCTTTCCTAAGGTTTTGCATGCAAAGTGATAAGTTATGAATCTCTAAATCCTTGGTCCGACCTTTAGAGAATTTCACCCCATACCTTGGTCCGGCTACGTGTATCTAAGTTAGTAGCCCTTACCTTTTTACTTCATATTAAGCATCATATTCGATGTTTGACTTAGTTATTACCTCACACCAATCGAAACTAGCCTATTAAATAGTATCCACTAACTCTATGTTGATAAATCTTTTCCTATTAACTACCCCCTTAGTGCGGAAAGTATCAATTAGGCAAGTTCTAACGTGTTCACTCATTAAAAAGACTTCTAGACGAAAGAATTACCATTCTATGCAATAACCTAATTGAGAATTGTTAATTATCAAGACTTATTTTGTTAATTACCCATGGTTCTCAGAACCCAGTTGTGAATTTAGTTACCCATGCTTATAAGAACACAATTCATATTTGTTGATTAATAAATCATGATTTTACTTTGACAAGTTTAAAGATAATCTAGAAATTATACTTGAAACAACAAAATTCACTTGAAAATCGATTCTGGAAACTTGAATTAATTTCCCAAGTTGCAAAGTCAAATCTCCAAGAACAAAAGTATGAAAAATAATAAAAGATCCAACTCTAAAAAAAACAAGGTTTTACACCATATTTTATAAAGATAGTGTCCTCAAATAAAAGGAAAACAATCAAGGAAAGTTTGTAAAAAAAAAATGCGGTTTCAATCGACGATTCCACTGACGGTTCGTTGATCAAACGAAAGACCATTGACTGTAACCGTTAGTCCATACTTAGCATATTTTTCAAAGAGTGCACGTTGCATCTTCTCTGATCCAATCGACGGACTAACAACACGGCCCGTTGATGCATATCGTCATTCCATACTTATCTTTTCCTGCAACACCGATTACTGGGATATTCTCTAATCTCATCAACGATTTGCCAGGATGGCGTGTCAATTAGTCGGCGGACCGTTGATCTTTCCGTATCCCCACCTTAGTTAGAATTTTTTGAGTTGCTTTCAGATGCTTGAACCTCCAGTCACGATCGCCACCTATGGTCTGTCGATGGAACGACGGGCCATCGATAGCTTCGTGGGTCACTTCTGCACTAATTTCTGCATTTCCATTTTGGACAACTTTTCTGCAAAATACAAATAAAAATACATTAAAATTACTACAAAAAGGCCCTAGACACACACTAAACTTAAGAAAAAAACATCGGAAGTACCATGAAACCACAGTACATCAAAGGTTAATTTTGTAAACTTCTCACTAAATATAAATTCCTTCTTTAAAATGGATGGGATGATACCATTTTTCTTTTCAAATTAATAATAATCATGCATTAGTTTCAAACATGATCGAGTACATAGATACGTCCTAATAAGACAATTATATACATAGTCACATGGTACACATTTTTTAGCTTGATTTTGGTGTGGTAGTAGAAACATAATTATGAGGTTGAATAGACGAAAACAATCTTTCTTTGAAATCACCTCAACATTTTCATTCTTAATAATAATCTATATGGTATAATTTGAACTTCGAGGTCGATTTTTTAAATTGCGATCATAAATTTTATCTTTTTTATTCGTTTATGAGAAAATAGTTTTATGCAGTTTTATAATGTATCCTTTTTTTTCTTAGACATAACAAATCTTAAAAGAATATTTTCTTTTATTCAAATAGTAAGAAGACAAGAGATCTCATTTTGTTGGTTTCATGTGTGTTTCTGCAAATAACTTCCAAAACTTATATATGTCTCGATTGTACTACTTTAGATATGTTTGTGTCTGAGCGCTTAATCTTTTGAAAAAAATGAAATTCATGATGGACTGTAGGTACATTTTTGTCATAACCCGCAAGGTAATTTTTGAAAACATTTATAAAATTACCATTTTACCACTCCCGATAGTTTTCCTGAGTTATTTATGATTTGTCGATAAAGTTGGTTCAAAATTTTGAACTATTCGATAATTATACTTAATTAATTGATGGGTAATGGTTAGATAATTAATTTATTTGATAATAATGATCTAAGTCTTAAACTTGTTTGATACCATATACCTTTTGGACCATATATACTAAAGGTCTTATTTTCTACAAAATTATTGTGTTGCTTTGCTAAGGTTCTCTATTCGCTGCGTCCAATTACTATCACTACTGCCAAATGTCTTCATCATTGCAAGTTCAAATTAATGCTACTCTAGAATTTCACTTTGATGCCATGAATACTTAGTCAATTTATATGTATTGAAGGGATAAATCTTTTATTCAACTAGCCACACGTTGAGATTACACTATAATAGAATTGATTACTGCACCTGTATAATTAATTAACTTATATTTTAATAGGTCCTTGTCATAGAAACTAGGAAACAATTTAGTGGGTTTTGATTTAGAAGAATGGAAATAGTTAATCTATAGCTCCTTTTTGAAAATGGAGAACAACGGTGTTAATGACCAATCATTATGTAATGGTTAAGGTCATGATTAGTCAATGATAATAAATGAATTAATAGAAATGTATGGTGCGTCAATAAAAATTTTAAAACAGTAAGTGCTCTCGTTAGTTTTGTTCGTAATTTACTTCGCTATTTTTGTGATGTTCTGGTTTGATATATTGGTATACGTAATTAAATATTAGATGTATTGTATATTGAATATTCATTCAAAGTATGACCAGGTTAATTAAATTTGTTAATAGTGTGGTATATTCTAGGACTAGTTGATAGCAAATACGCTGATCATGGTGCATTACTTTCTAATTGTGTTTTTGTTACGAATTAGTTATTTAGTTAATGGAAGTAGTAGTCATTTAGTGAGTTAATAGTTTATTCTTTTAAGTCTATATAAAGTTGTAATTTACTGTGATTTCATATACTAAAGAACAAAAAAGACTTCAACATACAATTCTCTTAACCTTTGAACCTCTGTTTCTTCCTAAAGTTTTCCTTTCTATTTAAGCCAACACCTTTGGTATTAGAGTCATGTAAATTAATGGCAATGTATTGAGTGTAACACAACCACTCATTCTGATCTTCTAGGGAGAAAGCCAAAAATTCTGGAGTATTCTTATGAAAATAATAAAATATCAATATCTCTGGGACTTGGTAGAACGAGGATTTGCAATCCCGATAAAAAAAACAGACTCTGTGACAGTAAGAAACAAGATGCTAAAGCACTAACTTTATCGAGAAGTAAGTTCATGATAGCCACTTTTGTTGGATCGCAGCAGTAACCACGTCAAAGTAAGGTTGGTCAATTCTACAGTAGGACTTTCAAGGTGATTGAAAGGTCATTGTGGTGAGATTGTTATCACTTCGGCCAAAATTTGAAACCTTGATTACGAAAGGTGGAGAATCGATTGTTGATTTCTTGTCTAGAATAGTTGCAATTCTCAGCAAAATTTGATCACGTGGCGAAAAAATTATTGATCAAACGATTGTTAAAAGATACTACGAAGCTCGATTCCATAATCAAATCATGTAGTTGCTTCTATAAAAGACTCTAGGATCTATCATTTTTTTCCTTTGTCGAATTGATGGGATCTCCTAAAGCCCATGATGAGACTCAATCAATATTATGTAAATAATTAAGATAAAAAATTCCTAGTGAAGGAAGCAATAACCAAATATGGTGAGAACAATGGTCCAGCAAGCATAGGTCGAGGAAGAGGAAGATTCTGTTTGGTCGAGGTCGTGGATATAAAAAAGACAGAGGAAGGAATGATGGGCATAGGGAGTCCAATAAGCAATGTAACACAAAGAATGACATTCAATGTGATCATTGTTAGCACTACAGACATATAAAGGCTAATTGCTGGTATAAGGATTAGTAAATAAACTTTGCAGCAATAGAAAATTTGGAAGAGAATTATCTCTTTATGGCTTGCATTAATACATAGCATAATCGAAGTGATGTTTGCTTTTTAGATAGTTGCTGTTCAAATAATATGACAAGCACCAAATCTTTGTTCTAGGAGATAAATGAGAAGCAAAAGAAAAAGGTGCAGCTTGTAAACTTCAAAGAGATACAAGGTGAAGAAAAATGCATTGTGGGTATTGACACCAGCCACGACATAGTAAATATGTTTAACATAATTCAGTTTGTACCTGATTTAGGATACAATTTGTGTAGTGTTGGACAACATTGTTCAATGGGCATTCTATTTCGTTTGGTGACGATGCTTGTGTAACTACAAACAAGAATTCAGGCAAAAAGGTTCGCATCATTATGATGTCAAACAAGATGTTTCTGCGGGATGTTTCCAACATGAAATGTTTTACGCTTGTTGCAAGTGCAAATGATGAGTCGAAGTTGTGTTATTTGAGGTATGGTCACCTCAATATAAAGAACCTCAAATTGATAGTTCAAAAAGGTATGGTTCTTGGACTACCAAAAATTTAATATAGTGAATTGTGTGAAGGGTGCGTTTCTGGAAAACAAATTTGGAAGTCTTTTCCTTTTGGAAAAGTTTTGAGGACTTCAAAGTGTCTTGAATTAATACACGTTGATTTATGTGGACCTATGCATACTAGATATTTTTGTGGTAGTCGTTATTTTCTCTTATTTACAAATGATTGTATTCGCATGAGTTTGGTCTATTTCTTAGAAACAAAATCAGAAACATTTCAAAAATTCAAGTTCATCAAAGCCCAAATTGAGAAGCGAAGCGGTCTGTGCATAATGACTTTTCGCCCAGATGGAGGCGCGAATTCTTGTCCAAGGAGGTTAATCTTTTTTTCTAAGGAAAATGGCATTCATAGGTTGCTGACAAAACCTTATACTCCGGAGCAAAATGTTGTTGCTGAGAAAAACAATCGCACTATGGTGGAGATGGAAAGAACCATGCTACAAGAGAAGGGAGTTCCGAATCAGATTTGGGCTCAAACTGTAACAACATCAGGCCATTTATTGAATTTTTCCCCAATGCAGTTTGTTATTTCTCAAACTCCATTTATCTTGGAAGGGTAAAAAACCATTGTAATTTATTTAAGAATTTTTTGTTGTACTACTTAGGCTTTTGTAAATTCCTAATTTCGTCATAAGTTGGATGAAAAATCTGAAAATTGTGTTTTTATTAGTTACTGAACACAATCTGAATATAGACTGTATAACCCTCTTAGTAGAAAGATTTTAATTAGAAGGGATTTAGTAGTTGGTCAAACTCCAAGCTGGAATTCGAGTGGAAGCAACGATAAGATGCATGTACAAATTCCTATGTCTACTGGAACCACTTTTGATGCAATTCCGCAGCCAACTACTACAGCTACAACAACCGGTTCTAGTACCACTTCTCTAGATTTATTTTTTTATCAACTTTAGGGAGCAGAAACACTTCATCTACTACTCTTGAAGAGTCTTTAGATGAGACAATTCCATTAAGAATATCAACAAGGCTTAAAAAGCTGAACCCCGAGTACGCCAATGACATGTATACAACTTGTCAAATCTCTTTTGAAACGTCAGATCCTACACATTATGAAGAAGCGGATAAAAAGGAAGAGTAGTGTAGAGCGATGTTAGAAGAGATGAAATCTATCGAAAAGAATGGCACATGGGAGATGGCGGAATTACTAGAAGACAAAAATGCAATTGGTTTGAAATGGGTGTTCAATACAAAGCTTGTAGTGAATGGGACCCAATAGAAGCATAAAGCTCGTCTTTTGACAAAAGGATATGCACAACAATATGGTATGATTTTTAAGACACAATTTCTCCAGTTGCACAATTTGAAATCGTTAGACTTGTTCTAGCATTGGTTACATAATCACGATAGCTAGTTTATCAATTTGATCTCAAGTAGGCTTTCTAAATGGAGACCTAAAAGAAGAGGTCTACATAGCACAACCAAAAGGTTTTATAAGTAAGGGTGATGAAACAAAGGTCTACAAACTAAAAAAAGGCATTGTATGGTTTGAAGGTAGCCACTCGAGCGTGATGTAGCAAAATCGATGAGTGTTTTAAGAGAAAGGGATATTGAGGATTGATAATGAACCCACATTGTATGTAAAGAAAAACGCCAATGCTTTCATCATTGTTTGCCTTTATGTTGATTATATCATTTATTCTAGCTCTTCTATTTCTCTGGTGGATCAATTTTAAGTCTCAAATGATGAATGACTTTGAGATGTCAGATATGGGGTCATTACATTATTTTCTTGGCCTTGAAGTCCGTCAAGCTGAAGATTAAATATTTCTTTCACAAAGGAAATATGACAAGGACCTTTCCATTAAGTATACTTTGCTTAATTGCAAGCCTTCTGCCACACACCTATAAATGTTGGTTACAAACTGTAGCTTACGAATAGAGCAGAGATGGATGATGCTATAAGTTTCAGAAGCATGGTTGGACGTTTAATTTACCTAACCCATACTCATCGTGATATTGCATTCTTTGTTGGTGTTATATCCAGGTTTATGCAACAACCTTCAAAGGTTCATTTTAGAGAAGCAAAAAGATTTATGCTTATGTTGCTGGAAGTATGGACTGCGGGATTTGGTATTCACAAGTGTCTAATTTCAGATTATGTGGGTTCATGATAGTGACTATTGATGTGAGGCTAAACATACATACTTTTTTAATCATTATTTTTCTCACATTTATTATTTATATTTTTTCTTTTTGAGCATTAATTTTATAGATTGTGCTAAATAGTGTATTTTATTTTTAGGAGTAAAATGGTGTAAAGTTGAAGAAGTTTGGATCTAAAATGAATTAAACATGAAAGATTGAAGAATGAAATCAAGCACGAAACTTAATGGATGAAATTGAATAAAATAATATATAAATTTACAAAGTGCCTTGAAATTAAACTTGATCCATGTGGCACAATTGAAGCGACACTGAGGTGGCACAGTTCAAGCGGAATTCAATTCTGTTTGGGTTTTGATTTCCCAATTTATTTTGGACTCAGTAATTTTATTTAGGGTTTTCCACATCTACAAATAGTCCATAAAAATAATTATTTGGGGTAATCTAGAGGAGGTACTTTGGAAGAGAAGTTGCTAATACCTTTTGGGGTTCTTTTCTTCTTATAGAGATAAGTAGCTAAAACCCTTGTTCTAGGGATTTAGCTACGAACTGAATGTTGATTATTAATGATATTTTGAATTAATTCTTTGTTGTAATTATAAGTTACTTCTATATTCTTGTTTTTGTATTTCGTGCTCGATCACCATGATCTAAATCTATTGTCTACTCTGAGAATCGAGAAAGGAGAGGTTAGATAGACCAGTAATATAGAGAGTTCGATCATCTCATTAGATTGAGGTGATTTATGTTTAGGAGTGAAGTTCGGAGGAATAACTTGCTTGGTTATGAAATTGGATGAAATGTAAATGCTCCCAAATTAGTTTACTTATCCCCACTCAACGATGTAGTTAGGTATCTTATTGGAGTAGATGACGAGAGGTGTGTATCCCGACACATACAATTAACTCTATAAACCAATAACTTGATAACTAAAATCACTTCTAAGCCAAAAATATGATACATGAAATTCAATATATGTTGCAGCCCTAAGATTTTCCAATTATTATAAGTAAATTTATTATTTTGTTCTTGCATTCTTCTTTTTTTTTTGGCTCTCTTAAGTAAATAATTACAACAATATAATTTAGTTAAAATAGTTAATTTACAAGTCCTTTGGGATTGATAATCTGGTACTTTTAAGAGCTATTATATTACTTGTGCGACCACATACACTTGCATGTGCAACTGGGAGCAACAACTATGCTGGTTCATTGTATGATAGACGAAGAATTTCAGCACATATATTTACTCTTGGGTCAGGAGTAATAAATTGGAGCTCAAAGAAGTAAGCTACACAAACCTTATCCACATTTGAAGCTGAGTACATTGCAACTATTTCAGCCACTTGCCAAGCTATGTGGCTAAGAAGCATGTTAGCATAATTTCAACATAAGCTAGAAAGTGCAACAAAAATATATTGCAACAAAAAACATCAATATCCATGACAAAGAATCCACATTTTCATAGTATAAATAAGAACATTGATGTTCACTTCCATTTCATTCGTAATTTGATTGCAAAGGAGGATATTGTATTGAAGCATTACAACACTCATAAGCAATTAGCTCATGTAATTACGAAGTCTTTGGCAGCGGACAAGTTTTTATATTTGAGGGTTTGCTTGGTGTATGTAACTTTGAGTCAACGGGTAATATTTAAGACTAATTCGAAGTATGACCAGGTCAATTGTTATTGTTAGTCCTATATTTTAGGGCTAGTTGGGTTTTGGTTAGTAATTAGTTTTTTAGTTAATGGAAGTAATGGTCATTCGGTGACTTACTAGTTTGTTATTTTAAGTTTGTATATAGTTGTACTTTCACTGATTTCATATACTGAAAAATCGAAAAGTCTTAAGCATACAATTTTTTTAACCTTCGATCCTATCTTTCTCCTTAAAGTTTTGGAGCCTATTACTCCGACATGGTATTATGTCAATACCATTAGATTATAATATTGGAGGAATTCAAACTTGATACTTGACCTGAAATATGGAAAATATGATAGTTGAAATGTTAATTAGCATTAAGATATAAGAACTTGATCATAAGTTTCATTGAATTTTAAGGTCAAGGATAAATACATAGTAATGTAGGTCTTGTTAATTTTGAAATGTTATGGTGAATATGTACATGAATAGATTGCATTGTTTTGAGATCTCAAAGAAAAGAGAAAACTCAAGTACCGTAGTGATTATTCGGTTATTTGCGGCAAGTGGATTTCTAAGCCCTTGTTTAGTGCATAGAATTATATATTTCCTTGTGGTATGCGTTGGGGAGTAATGAGAATTGGTGATGGGTTGACTTGTCCATGTTGAATAATTCTAATGATGAAAAAGGGGTAGTACAAAGCATTGTAATTAATTGTTTGTGTAATGTGTTGAGAATGGTTTTGAAAGGCTTATTGATTCATTTTTGATGTTGTATCATAATTGTATTATTATTTAAATCAATTCAATTTAATAGAGACTTATTATACTTGGCACTATATTTCATTGTTTTGCACAACTTTATCATTGATGAAGTTGATCTTTTGAGTGTCTTTTTATGAAAGTTATGGTTGATGAATAATGACTTAAATATTTAGGATATATAATTCTTTTAAGTGTTGGTGTTGAGTTGTGTGTTCTGTAAACTGTGAATTGTTAGGTTGGTCAGATTTTATGCATGTTATATTTGTGATTGATGAATATTAAGCTTGTTGTTGAGAATATGTAATTTTTAAGGTGTTGTTGTTGAGTATCTTGCAATATAAGTTGTGAAATATTAGGTTGGGCTTGTCTGAAACAGATTGTAGTTGTGGAGGTTTGGTTGGGGTGTAAGGATTACTCGAATTCTATTACCTTCGCTTATGTTTGGAGATTTACTTCATGAGTATTATGTGGTTTGGTGCTCACCCATTGCAATTACATTTTTTTGCAGTTTGCTAGCCCGTTGGTGATATTTTCTCTTCTCCTTGTCCGAGAAATCTTTTAGAGGTTTATGAGGCACTTGCTTCTTATTTTAGTGAACCTTCTTTCTCCTTAATTTATAATCTTGTTATGTTCTAGAAACAATGTCATTTAAGACTTGTATTTTCCTTCAATTTTGTTATAATACATAAGAGGCTTGTACATATACAATGTTTTTGGAGTTTTATTTTTAAGTTGATTATAAATTTTTTCATTTTATCGTGAAGGCTGAATTTTAGACTGACTTGTATTGTTGGGATAAGACGAGTGTTATCACGTCCATTTTTGAGTTGTATTATTTTCTTCTTGAAATACTAGATAAATAACATAGAAAAAGTGAATCTAGAATTCTAAGTGAATTTGAGGGAGATAATTTTTGTCAGGCCCAGAGCCTACACCCTGGATGTGGACTGCACTCGACAGCCATCGTTGTCCCCCAAGAGAAGCCTTAGCCTTTCTTACATAACTCAACGGAAGAATCAAATCAACTCAATCAAGAAATAAAGCATGTTCACAAGGAACACTTAATATAATAATGTGGCCAAAATGACACTTAATTCTAAAAAACTTAATATATGAAGTTATAAAACACAAGAGACTCTAAAACTTAATGACTAACACTCTATGTGTCTATTAAGCCTCTAATAACTGAAATAAATGTTGGGACAGACCCTACAACACCCTAATAAACTAAGCTAGAAAAAAAGAGATGTCCTCAAGACTGCAAGGAGGCTCACCAAGGTACTGCGGAGTGCTCAACTAAATTAACGGTTCACTGCATGCTTATCCTGGTTACCTGCATCATAATATGATGCAGAGCAACTGACATCAATACATTGAATGTACGAGTAAATGATTTGAAAAGATAAACGACGAGTTAAGCTTGAGGGGATTAAGATGAACTGACCTTGTCTAGCTCAATTAAAGAATATGCTTAACTCAAAGTATGTATATAAAACAATTTTAAACACATGCAATATATATAAATCTTGTAAAATAGTAAAACAACTTAGTTCGTTAAACAAATG